AGTCTCATTTATTTCTAATATTGCCTCGTTTAAACTTGATCGATTAAGCTTCTGTTTAACTTTAGGTGTTTAAGTGTAATGATAGGTTTAACGCTAAGGCACTATATCCGCTAACAATTGAATCTTTTCTTATTGCAATGCTACTTTTTTTTTTTTAGGCAAGTGTGGTCGACCAAGGATAAAATTGTCTTTATACTCTCCATCTAGAATTGCCTTTTCGATTTTCTCATCTTTTCAATCTGTCATAGTCCTTTTAGCTTCATCTGCCATAAAACACGTACTTGTACTCGCCGGCGACAGCAACCAAGCCCAAAAGTAAATATGATTGAGATTTTCGTGTATGTTTCTCTTAGCTCTTTCCTTCTATTTTTCGATCTCTTCTTTCCTAAGTTTCAAGACCATACTGATGGAATTTGGGTCTACTTCTGAATTTGGTCCTAATTAATTAGTTGCCTTTCGAATATATGTGCATTCCACTTTCTCATCCCAGATTTGCATTCCGTATACTCTGTTTCTTTTGTTACACTTTCTAGCCTTATTTGTTGAGTTTCCTTTCAAATTTCTCTAATTTCCTTCAGTGTGTGCTATATTTCGTTCGGAGTTTTGCAGAATTTTTCTTCAGTCTTTCTTTGTTTATTGCAACCATGTATTGGTAATGGGTATTTGGTGGGTATCTCTTATCCACTACTCTCTGCGATAATTTCTTCCATTTTGTACGTTTGAATTGCACATCTTTGTTGGAAAATTTTCTGCATAGGTTTAAACACGATTTGGCATAATTAATTTCCATCTAGGACAAAAATGTTGAAGAAACAAACAAGATCTCTCCTGCAACCAAGATGTTTGATAATATGTCTTAAATACAAGAACTGTGATGTTTACTTAAGAGCTGAATTTGGCATTTTAGGTATGTATTTGTACTGGGTGCTCCTTTTTTAGGTTTCGTTTAAAAGACTATATTTGACTTTTGTATAGGTTATGGGTATTTGTTCCCTTTAATCACATATTAACAAGATTGTCTACTCTTTCTTGACATACAATGATTTACGTATATTATTAACTTGAGAAACTGCACTTGAAAAATCAACAAGAAAAAATCTCAGTAAGGAACTTTACCATAAGGTGTTAAATTTGAAATTTTCATATGCAACATGGCATTAAAGGCTAAAAGTTTGAAATGGAGGTTTCAATAATTGTGCTGGAGATTTTGTTAATTAATGGTTCTAATGCTAATTGGCGCTTTTCTTATGTTTATACGGCCAATTAGTATCCCTCAAATTATGATTTGTTTTCTTTAGACTATGTAGCTTTCGATGCATGACCCCGAACTAATAACTGCATCAGTACATAGCAAGAAAAGGGAGGCCCTCATGGAGCTTTCCTTCTGGAAGATGAACAAGGCTGATACAAATAGATAGCTTTTTATGTATGACTAACCTGGATGAAAATAATTTTTATCCTGACATTAGTTATCGGGCCTTGGCTTCTTTTTAAGGAAATGTTAATGAGGCTTCAGCAATGAAGTATCTTTTGAAAGTTGTCCTTAATATGAGTTGGAACTGGTACTTGGCAGGCATTGCCTGATTATCTGTTATAAATTCTTTCTTATTTTTGCAATACTTTAATTCTATTTGTTGTTATTTAGTGCAAGATAAGCAACTTACCCACAAAAAAATATAGAAATTAAAAAAAATAAAGTCTCTAGATCAAGCATTTGACTTACCAGAGATGCCAGATTGATGTTGCAATTATTTTGTTTCTTTTCTTGAAAGCTTGTAAAGTTAAGTGCCAGAAAAATGAATCTTTGAATTTGTGTATTTATACATAATGAAAAACTTTGGTTCTAATACTAAAGCATGTCATTTATAAATCTTAATATGTTTTCTTTATGCTTGTGTCCATGGATAAATATTTTCTCTATATATAGTTAGTCACATTGGAGGATCTAGAATTACAGAACAGACTTTGGTTAGCTTTTCAATAGTGCAGACTATTTTATTCTGCTATTATTATTCATATGTATTGTATTGTGTTAAATGATATATATTGCTAGCATATTGCAGTTAAAAGGAAAACTAAAATATTGGGATTCTGCTTGGTCGAATGAAGGAAAAAGCTGTTATTGCCAAGGTAATGTACTTTTCAAGGATGTTCTGCCTTAGACAAGGCTTTTCTGTCTTATAGACCTGCTTATAGTGATGGAAGAGTTTAACATCCAATACTGTATGCCTTTTGGGCTAAAGTCATATATGATAACACTAACATATATTGAGATTCAAACTCCTCTACTTATATAACATAGAATCAATAAGTTCCTCTATTAGTTGTTTCGTGTATTAGCACTACTTTTTTGTGTCTTCTTTGGCTGAATTTGTAGTTTGATGCATTTCAACCTAAAAGCCTTCTATATTTGTCTCTCATTCACTAACAAATACCTTTCCATTTTTAACAAGATACTGAAAACAACCTATTTCCATTTTTATATAGCATCAATAACAAATGTTAGCAGATACTGATGAATTATGGGTTTAGTTATGCATGCCACATCATTAGTTTGTCAAGACTTCATTAATGACAACGCTGCCGCATACAATACCTTTTTTTTTTTTCCTCTTTTTCTAATTCTAGACCCATTACATTGGTCGATATTCTCTGTTGATTATAAGATAAATTATTTGTAATACAAAGATTTTGTGTCTTGATTCAATTGTACTTTTTCAGCAATTATAATACCGTCAAACTTTTATCATATACAAAACACCAAAAAGCTAATTGCTTAAAAATGGGGGCATTTGCATCTATACCCGCTTTTTGGGTCACGTTTTAACTTGTGCCCGCTTTGCAAAAGAAATTGCAAGCTAATTTACGCGAAAAAGTGGGTACGCTTGCAATTTTTTTGGCAAAGTGGGCACAAGTTAAAACGTGACCAAAAAAACGGGTATAGATGCAAATGCCCCAATGTGAATGTTGGGCCCGTGCATGCACGGGCTATATACATCTAGTACATATATATAATCTAAACAAGATTGTTATAAATAACAAATACAAACTTGATCGGCGGTCAGTCCAACTTTGGACCGGAAGATATATCGGTTCACTACCTGCTGCTCTTTCCCCTCGAATAGGATCTGATTTCCTGCAACATCTCCTCCTCCACCTCGCCCTCTCCCTACAAACAACAGATCATTCCTCTTGAAACAACACGGATTATTTGATTTTAGCTAGTAAGAAGCCATTTGTGCTAAGTTTTCTTCATTTTGAGCTTTCAAATTCGTTGTTTTTTTTTTTAATTTTTTTNGGGTTCCAATTTGATATCAGAACAAAAGGATGAACAGGAAATACACATGGAACTCCCTCTACATGCACGTTATCAGGTACATCACATAAAAAATTCTCAAAATTATGTAGGAATCTCTAAAGTACGTCTCAGGCATCAAAGGTAGTCATTTTACTCCCCTGAAGTTATTTGATACTTTTACCATAATTTTGGCCACTTTTTGTTTTGGGAGGTACATGTACTTTTGTTTAGAACCTTCTCAACTATTGACTGTAACATCCCAGCTTTTTCTTGGCAGCCACTAGGACATGGATTCTCAAGAGTCGAATTTGCTTCACCTGACTTGTTTCTGCGCTGCAGCGGTAAAGGAAATCAACATGCCACGAGCTGTTTGTTTTCACTAGACAAACAGAGTGCTGAATCAAATAATAGTCATCCTGTGTGGGAAGTACCATGTGGAAGTAGAGAACACATGGAAGTNTGATGTTATTTAGAATATAAAAAATTGGTTGATGTTCCCTTGAATTTTGGAATTTTCACTTGAAATCATGGTAAAACTTTTCTAATAATGGAGGCAAGATTGAACCAAGAGTTGGGCTTAATGTCAGGATAGAGCTTGAATTCAACTCCTGGGAAAATAAACTCAATATGGAGGAGAAATGAATTTTGCTGTTACTCTAATTGAATAAAATGTAAGGCATTCTCAAGAAGAAGAAGAGTATGTAGATTAGAAGTTCCTTAGATTTCCATGGCCACCTTCTTCCGCTACTTCTTTATTTATTTGCGGACTAGTTTATTTGCTGATCATGTGCACCCACTTCTTCACTAAATTCACTAATCATCTTGATTATGTAACTAACTTGCATTATCTAACTAATCTCCACTCACAGCATGAAAGATCTTCTTAGCATACTTTCAGCAATACTCATGAGAGGGACAAATCATATATATATACATGCCTTTATCCTGCTACAATGGATTTTTTTGAGTTGCATCTCATACCTCAATCTATGTTAGTAACAGGGAAGTTATGTACAAATGTCATGTGAAGGAGGCCATCTAACTTTCTGATTAGTTATGCAAGAATGTAGGATAATAATTTGGTTTAACATTCCACTACCTATATATGTTTGTCAGAAGTGTAAATGCATTACACATATTATGTGTCTACGCGTCTAATGAGTCAATGCCTAATTGCCACTCAACCTGTTCAGATCTGCGATGGAACTTCATGATCTTCTGGCACGATGTTTGGTGATGATCATTGCAGTGGTACAAATTGCTAGGATCAGCTCATGTCTCGGTACTGAAGTATTAAATGAAGTAAGTGACCTAGCTGCCGAACAAGCTCAAGATGTGCAGTTATTTCTCAATGCATGTATTTTGGGTGATAGTAATATACTAATTTACAGAAAACTGTAAATGNAATTACTTTATCAAAAAGAAGTTACAACATTGAAAATGTAATCAAATAATGCATGCTGATGGTACAAGCAAATTCAGTTTTTCCTCTACTACAGTAACGAAGACTTCAGCTAGACAAGTGATTTGTTCGCGTTAGATGCTCGGTCTCTGTGTATTTTGTATATCATTCCTGGCCACCTCAAATACTTGTGTACAATGATTCATCGACTTTTCCCTACTCAACCGTAGCTCCACCTCAAAGTTTTTTCTACCTAAGTTGTGCTTTTTCATATCCACGGATAAACCAACNCAAACATGACAATTTGGTTGACTCAAAGTTTGAAGATTTCATTGCACATGACATTCTGTCCAGCACCTGTGTATCGCTGCAAGACAATGTCAAATTTGCACCAAAGCTGTCTGCTTTACATCGAAAGCTGATTGGTGAAGGCTCCCACCGGTGTCTGTCATCATCTCTCAGATTGAAGATGCCATCGGAGTCCATTTCCAGGCCTCCAAAATCTTGTGAGGTGATAATTGTTGAAAGACTGCCTTCTGGAGTCTTTG